CCTGGGTTCAATCCCAGCACCACCAAAAGGAAAAAAAAAAAAAATACGCAAAAAAAATTTTTGAAAAGACAAGTATGGTTATGAAGACTACAAACTCACTAGAGTGTTTGAAACTAAATAAACAATGTCAATTTATAAAAAAAACCTGATTTTACTGGATTTAGCATCAAAGTTCACTAATGACATATTTCAATAGGAAAGGTGGATAAAAATCAAAACAGTGGGCTGGACTGAGGTGTAGACACAAGATCAAGTAAGGCAAAGGCAAGTACTGTCAGCCTTTCATATCCATGGGTTTCACATCAATAGATTCAACCCACCACAAATCAAAAATGTTACGTTACTGCTGACTTGTTTCACGCAGTCAGGCCTATGAAGGTTAACTATGGCTGCCTCTGTACCAAAATGTCAATTTTTGCCTTGTCTTTATTCCCTAAACAAAACAGAATAACTATTTTACATATATTTACATCATATTAGGTACTATAAATAATCTAGAGATGGTTTAAAGAATATGGGAGGATATATGTAAATCATATGCAAATACTTATGACTTTATATAAGGATTTGAGCATCTGTGAATTTCAGTATCCATGGGGGTCCTGGAACCAATCCCCAGCAGAAAACTGTAGAGGGGGAGAGGGCGTGTGCCAGAAAGTAAAGGGAGCCCACGACACTATCTGCCTGCCTCTCCTTCTTCCACAAGTATTTGAACATTCACATGTTGCGGGGAAAGTAACCTAGAGGGAAAATCCTGACTTTAATTTAAAAAAATGGGGAAGAAATTTATGCTTAGTCTTTGGGAGCAGCTTTAGGAAAAGAAAAGTGTGTAACACCTCTCCATGTAGTAGGAAGAACAAAAGTAATTTTATCAAACATAAATTTCATGATCTCATTTAATTCTCACAAATCTCTCAGAATGGTACAGCAGTAGCTAATTTAGTGCCAGGAACAGAAGTAGAACTTGACTGAACTGCCTGGTACTTCTGTTTTATCAGTTAACTATAAGAGGAAGTCACATAGTGAGGTAGGATCTTCATCTTGTCATTTCCTTGACTTCTTTTTCTTCTTCCTTTCGCCTTTCTACAAGTTCCTCAATGTGCCCAGCCCTTTTCCCACCCTCAAATATTATATTCAAATTATGAGAGTTGTTCAAATTCCTCATTTAATAAGCAAGGAAATTAGGGCCCACAAAAAAACACTTGCCCAGAGAACCAGAACTGGAGACTCAAGATTCTCACTCTGATTATTAATTCTTATTAGGAATCAGTAATACTCACGTGATTGTTGTTCCCCGTCCTAGAGTATTTCCTCGTGGGTCAGCAATTACAGAAAATTCATTGGAGTCAGACTCCCAGATGTGCTGGGTATCATTGTTATGTTTTGATGTGACAATAACCTTATCTGCTACAAGGAAGGCAGAATAGAAACCAACACCAAACTGGCCAATCAATTCAGAAGTTGACTGGCTATCTTCTTGTGCTTCAGTCATTTTGTTTAAAAATTCACTTGTCCCAGATTTGGCTATGGTACCAAGGTTTTTAACCAACTCTTCTCTGGTCATTCCTACACCAGTGTCTGTGACATGTAGTAGGTTTTTCTCCTTGTCACACTAAAAGCAAGACAAGAACAAGATAGTTACCCTCAAAGGAAAAAAATTTATAGAAAAATAAATTTTATGTTTTGCCTATTTCTTTGATAGGAAACAAAACACAGACTCTATACTTGAATGATTCCTATATTAGGAATCTGTGGTGATCATTCATGTTCTTCAATAAACACCCCTGGCTCTGTCCCCACAAAAATGGTAGGATTTTATTTCCTTCCATTTTTGAGTGAGGCCATGTGATTAGTTCTGGCTAGTGAGTTGCAAGTGGGAGCCTAGTGGTAGCTTTCAGGTTCTTTAATTGGTCTGCGACCCTCTGAGCTCTGTGTCATGGCAACCAGCTACACTCCAGATGACTGCTCAATCAGCCTGAGTCCTAGTGGGAGGATGAGGTAGAGTAAAAGCCTATGTAGCCTATGGAATGATTTAAGCCAGAAGTCAGCATATTTTTCAGTTAAAGGACCAGACATAAATATTTTTTAGGCTTTGTAAATCACAGGTCCCTGTCACAATGATTACTGCCAATGTAGATGAAAGCAGTCATTGATACAAATGGATACAGTTGTGTTCTCATAAAACTTTTTTTAAATAAAAATAGGCAAACAGATTTGGCCCACATCCTAGTTTGCTGACTCCTGAGTTAAACAACTGAAACTAGGGGGTTACTTGTCACTGTAGACTAAGGTTGCCTTTCTTGACCAATAGGGCTTTCCTTTCTCAAAGGATTCAAGAGAAAAAGATTATCTATGCTTACCTTAATTTTGACAGTTAATTCCTCATTTCCAGAAAGCGCATTTTCATCAGTTAGTGATATTAGCCTTATCTTATCTAAAGCATCAGAAGCATTGGAAATCAGTTCTCTCAGGAAAATCTAAAGTCAGATTTAATACACTTAGATTAGCTTCAAGATACAACAAGAAGTTGAATTTCACGTGAAACATACTTTATTTCTCCTTTGTATCCTTGAAAAAGCACTCTAAACTTTTTAATGATATACGGATGGTTTTATTCATTGGTAAAAGGACTGTAGCAACTATAACATACCCGAACTGGTTAAGAGTAGTAACTTTATTCTCCTACTAGTGATTTTCAGGTATGCAACACACAAAAGCTTACGTTTGTGTGAATGCCCTTAAGACTCAAGTATTTAGCAGACCATGAACACATCAGAAGGAAAAAGGAAAAGAAGGAAAAATATCCAGTGCTGTGCTCCCCCCCCCCCGCAAATATTGGTAGCAATTCTTGTACGTATTGGGTCAACTTGGTCAACTACCTACTTGGAATTACTATGTACTTAAATTTACTATGAAAAGAAACAAATATGCCACTGTACAGAGACAAGACTATCCTAACTACATGTTGCTTACCTCTTTATTTTTATATAATGAATTGATGATAAGTTTCATCATCCTGTTAACTTCAGCTTGGAAGGCAAACTTTTCAGATTTCTCTCTAAGTTCTCTTATTTGTGATGCATTTAATCCATCCAACTGTATAGCTTCTTCCTCTCTAAGAAAATCAGATAAACAAATACTTAGTTGCCTTCAAAAACATAGCTGGTGATGAGAACACAATTGGCCGCTTAAGATTGTCTTGCAGGTTAAAAGGGAAAAATATAAATTTTTATGAAACATCTTTTATATTGTAGGTCCTTATTATGTTATCCCAGTAGGTTACCTTTAACATTGAGCTGGGTATTCTCAGTTCTTAAAATTGCCAGAAAAATAAAAACACAACCTTCTTTTACTAAAAAACCAAATTCATACTCATGTGTGGTCCATAGTAAGGACTTCAAAAAATTTTCACTGAGTCCTAAAAGGCCAAAATTTAAAACATTGCTCAAATGACAGAAATTCTGTTTTTTAAATTACTAATACATAAGGAATCTAAATGAAGGTCTAAATAAAGTCTAAATGAAGGTCGTTTCTAAGGTCTTAGAAAATTTATTAACTAATATTCTGAAATAGGTATCAACATAGTTTTCAAAGGAATTCACTCCATTTTTGTTTTTCTTTTTCAAGTATTTGAACACAGAATGTTATACTTAATCTGCATCTTTGAAGAAACCAAAGCAGCTACTGGATCCCACAACCTTCATGGGGCTTATGTATATAGTTGCAAATGAACACAGACCTCTGTACTACTTCATCATCTGTCCTTGAGCCTTCTCTGCTTTTGCCCAGGTCCTCTTCCACTGTACCATCCACATCGACTTCATCGTCAGCTCTAACTGACCCTGAAGAAAGATTGAACATCGGAAAACTCTTCAACACTGTTGCTTCCTTTGCTTCGCAGAATATGCTCAAACAGGGCAAGGGTAGGTGTTGCAAAATCCAGTGGGTAAATGTAGGAGGTGGGGATGGAAGAAAGGATCTACTTAAGTCAGCACATTTCTTATTTAAGTTGAGATGCTGAAGTCCCCCAGTAGAATCTGAAACACGGAGGCGGCCATCTCTTCCAAACAGCGTCCTTCCGATTATTTATAAATAACGTTTGGCAGAGTGATACCAGGCCCCATCTACACCCACACGTGTTGCGCACAGCCGAGACAAGGCCTCCAACTGACCAAATCAAAACTTGGGCCTTTCTTTTCATGGGTCAGAATACAAACCGAATTTGTTCAACTTCTGGCTCGGGAAAATGAAATTGGGCCCAGGGTGCTGAGAAGGGGAAGAACCAAGCTGGAGCAAAACTGAATTAAACACCCAGACATTGCCATTCCGCTGGCGACAGGCCCCACGCTCCGGAGACCGGCCTCTAAGAACCGAAACGCGCTCGCGGGGAGTCCGCAAGGCTGGGGGAAGGGGTCCTCCAGAGCGGACAGGCAAAGGTTGCAGCGGCCGACAAAAGTCCTCGGGGAGGGGCATCCGCAATGCTCCCCGGGGAACGAGAGCCCGAGAGAGAGGCCCCACCCCGGTAGCTGAGACCTCCGTGAGCGCTACTATGAGATCTGCAGGGGATTTAAATCAACCTATTCGATTTCTTTTCTTTCCAGAGGAAGAAGTAAGTAAAGGTAATCCCCTGAGCCTCTTTCGAGGAAAGGCAATGGCCCGTGTGGCCCGCCGCAGGCCCTAATATCCCCATTCCTGGTCCAACGCCCCCAGAACCTTCGAGAAGCGGCCGAGCTGGAGGAGGGGGGGTGTCCTGTCCCCTCAGATCACTCACCGAAGGTCAGGAGGATGCAGCAGAGGCCCAGCACCCACAGGGCCTTCATGGCGCGTGGCCGGTGAGTCTCAAGTCTCTTTTGACCGCAGGAGCCGCCTCCGCCCCCCCCACCCCGGAGCTCAGATCCTCACACCTCTAGCCGCGCGGTCCGCCCACTACACCCTATGCAGGTCGGGCCGCTTTTCACCCCGGCTTCTCGCGGGCGGGGGACGGGAAACACGAATCTACCAATCGCGCCGCACCACGCACCCTCTGTACCCAATCGGTACGCGTGGTGGGGACCAGAGTCCACCAATCGGAGCTGTCCAGGTGCGGTATCCGATGCCCGAAGCGTGGCTCCTTCCAATTGGTCTCCCGTAGCAGCTTTTGTCCAATCAAATGGCTCCGCGGGCCCTCACACGCAGGACCACCCCTTTGCCTGGGAAGACTTGGCCTCTGAGGGAAGCCGTCCAATGAACGTAGCTCGCAACGCGTCCATCCTCTTCGAGGGGTCGCGATGGAACCACTTCCGGATCCTGGAGAGCGTTTATTCCGTGACCAGGGGGAACGGTAGCCATGGCAACGCGCTTTTTTACGTTTCTCCCATCAGGAGTCACGGAGCGAGCCCTTTCAGGCCGACGTTCGCAGCCAGCTTTGTATCTCGCAGTGCTTCTCGGAAAAGAAAAACACGTGAGGCACTGAAAATCCTCCGGAACGCTTTTGGATTGGGGTGGTGAGAAACCACAGCTCCCGGCGTGCAACATACTAGGCCTACGCTGTTTTGAATGCTGGGAATCGTAGTCTTTGGCCTCTGGGCCAACTGCGTAGTTTGGCCCTTTCACGTTCTCCCGGCGTCTCTTTGCGGGAACTCTGTCCTCCGTGTTTTAGGATTTATACCTCGTTCTGACTGCAGCAGATATCTGTGGTTACTCCAAGGCTCCAGCGTACACAGCTTTCAAAAGGTCGCCGCGCCTTGGCCAAGGCCACCCTGTGTTCTGGGGGTGGGCCCCAGTCTGGGTTCAGCCTTTGACTCGGGAACACGCGTTTCCGAATCTGGCATTTAGCGCGTTATGTAGACAGCTGGAGCCTTCACTCCTCTGCGCACTCAGTGACCGGAATCCCCAAGCCCTTGGTTTGCAGAAGTGGGTGATGGGATCCCCCTTCCCCGAGGGAAATCTCTAGCAACTTTGATGCCTTTGACTCCCCCACAATGTGCAAAGGGGGCCAGCCACCTGGCAGTCCTAAAGCCCCTGCTGTAAGTCAGGTGGTGGAGAGCGTGGTGGTAAAGTCCGTTCTAGCACAGAAAAGGAAAGGACACACCTGCAGATATTTGAAAGCAAAACCTGCGGTGCTGCAAATGAGAACAGAATTGTCGCTTTGTAACTTCATAGAAATACCCTGTCCGCCTTCTGGAAGGCACATAAAACACCAGGTGTCTTTCCTGTGAGGGAAGTCCCTCACACCAAGCTAGTGCCTGTGGACAGAAGTCTCTTTAACGGTGTTTTTACCCACTCCCCACCGTCATCAGCGCCTCTTCTCCAAAATACACGCCCCTATTGCTCCCTCCAGCAACGTGGAACTTCGGAATTTTGTTTTCAGATAACCAACTGAATTCCTGACCACAAACTTTTAGGTGACAATAGGTCATTGTCTTTTTACAACTTTCCGTATTTAGGCTTGCCAATCTTGATTTTGTGGTTGATGGTTTTCATATTGTGGTGATGCCTTATTTACATCTGCCCAATTTACCTCCATTTGTTGTTAGTAAGCAGAGGGTAACTTGCAAAGCACGTCTCTGCTTCTGTGCTTACATTTTTGTTATTGAGAGGATATTAGGGTGATGATTACATCAAGAAATCTGAATTAGTTTTTGTATATTTTAACCCTTTTTTGCTTCTTTTTAGAAAAAGATGAGTCCCATCACTTTTCTGCATTTGATAGCTCAACTTCTTAATCTTTTTCTCTATCTTATTTATTAACAAATAAGCCATCAGTTCTGAAACTGTGAATGCCATCTTAACTGGTCACTGGTGGGTAGTTTGTGCTGCACCTGGAGGAACTGAGAGTGAGAAGTGCCTTCCAAAATAGAGCTGCTGCTTGTGGGAAGAAGTTTTTGCAGATGATGATGAGAATTCCTGAGGTAGGCCGAGCACAAAACATTAGGCTGACTCAGCTGTGCTCTTTAAAGACAAAATCTCTGACAGATCACCCTGTAAAAGAAGTGGACAGTTTCCTGGATTCCTAGTCTTGCTGTCCCTGGCAACCCCCTTCTCTTCACCTCTTTTGACTTTTAAAGTGTCACTGATCCCTAATTCCTATTTTGGCCTATCTCCCCTAGAACTGCACTCCCAGGTAGTTTGTAACCTTTCAATCTGATTCTCTTGCTTCCCAATTTTAGTTTTTCCCTTTGACACTGTATTTCCATGGATGCTGCTACTGGAAATGACTACTTTGTTGTTATGCTGCTTTTGAATGCTACTAGGTAGCACCCTGCCTTGCAGTTAACTTGGAAGGAAAAACCAGATAGGCAAAGGAATGTAGTTAGGGGCAATGAATGGCTGTCCTGGTAGGCAGGTGTAGTTCAGCAGTGTAAAGTCAGGGAGAATACAGGAGACCAAGGCAGGAAAGCAGGTGGCATCAAGGAGCATTGAAGAATGGGGTGGGTTGGTTGGTTGGTTTCTTCCTTTGTTCTTTCACTTACTAATTCAGCAAATGTTAAGGACCTGGTATTTGCCAGGTATTAGGCTGGGGGCTGGAAATACATAGATGAGCAGTATATATACGATCTCTGTACTGAACTTCAGCTAATATTAACAATGGAGTTGCATCGTAAATGCAAATATCTTGTTTAAACTCAAGTACAAAAGAATGCCAGGCAAGGTAATATCAACAAACTTTTGGGGCTGATAAAAATACCCTTAATCTTGATATTGGTGGTGGTTAAGACTATCGAAGTATATACTTTATTTATTTATTTTTTAAAGACAGAGACAGAATTTTTTTTTAATATTTATTTTTTAGTTTTCGGCGCACACAACATCTTTGTTTGTGTGTGGTGCTGAGGATCGAACCCAGGCCGCACGCATGCCAGGCGAGCGCGCTTCCGCTTGAGCCACATCCCCAGCCCTCAAAGTATATACTTTAAAAGGATGATTTTTTAAAATAAAAAATATGAACAAATGAGTATAACAAAAGAGAGAATACAAAAATAAGGGTTTTAATTTAATAAGTGACAAAATGAGATTTTAGGGGACTAAAGATAGTTTACTTCATGAATGATGCTAGTCTTGACTGGTTATCCATCTTAAATATTTATTGAGATGGATATTTTCAATAAAAATATTTTTAAGTGTACAGTTCGATGGTTTCTCATTTAAAGAATACAACAGCAACTGTCATTTTAGACAACAAAAACACTTAAAAACCATTTTAGTAAGAATCATGAACCAGATAGGGATGTCCATTATTATCAGTATTGTCCCATACTCTTTAGAAGGGTCCTATAGTAAGAAAATAAGTTGATATAAATTTTAGAAAAGTTCAAGTTCTTCATTTTGAAAGTCATTCTATCTAGTGACAGAACTGTATATCCCAGAAACTCAAGAGACTCTAGCTTTTTTAAAATGTTGAGAATGAATATGAGAAACTGGTATATTACTGACTTGAAGATAAATCTATTAAAATCAGTAGTCTTGGGGCTGGGCTTATAGCTCAGTTGGTAGAGTGCTTGCCTCGTATGCATAAGGCCCTGGGTTCAATCCCTATCACCACACACACATACACACACATACACACACACACACACACACATACACACACACATAAACACACTCACAAATCAGTAGTCTTGTTCTAATTTGCAAATAACACAGAAATGGAAATTTTAAAATTTTTCATATAAGAGGCAAAACATAAAATATATAGGGATAATAAAGACTTAGTTTGAATACAAAGAAAACAATAGAATATCAAAGGATATAAAATAAAGGAACTTGGGTCAAGTTCCATAACCTATGTATTATCTATTGCTGTGTAGCAGATTATATGGAAGCTTGCAGCTTAGAACCATACACATTAATTGTCTCACACGGTGTCTGTATGTCAGGAATCTAGGAATACTTAGCTGGTACTTCTGGCTCAGTTTCTCAGGAGCTTGCAGTCAAGATGTTGGCTAAGGCAGAAGTCATCATCTAGAGGCTTGACAAGGGCTGGATCCAAGACCCAGAACCCTGCAGGAGCTCTGACGACTCATAACCAAGCTCAGAAATCACAGGTGATCATTTTTGCAATAAGTCTACTCAGGGAGAGGGTGTGAGTACTGGCAGTCAGAGATCACTGGGGTTGATTTGAAGGTCAGCTGCTACCACACCCTAATTGCAGAGAAAGCTGGAAAAGGTTGGACATGGCCCTGGGTTCAGCTTCCCTCGAGAGAGACGGGCTCAGAATCATAAGTTGGGAATTTCTCCAAATATAGGAAGAATGGGAAGAGACTTTAGATACAGTCCAGTCAAAAAAAAAAAAAAAAAAGATCAATGTCTAACCACATTTGAATATACAAACAAATGAGTACAACAAAAAAGAGAACCAAAAATAAGTTGTTTCAATTTAGTATGTGACAAGAATGAGACTTCAATTCAGGGGAAAAGATAGTTTATTTCATAAGTGATGCTAGCCTTGACTGGTTATCCATCTCCAATATTTAATATTTTCTTTGCAATTCTAAAATTTAAATTAACAATGATAACTTGATTCAGAAATATGTTGGAAGGATATTTCTTAATGAGAAGTTCAGCCTGGCAGTGTTAGAAGAGGAATTTTAAAAAAAAAAAAAACAGTTTACAAGATACTTATTATTTAAGGCCTGCTATTACTGCTGCAAAAATTAATGTTGGAGTCAGACCCCAAGACAGGATTTAAGTAACTGCAAAATCCACACTCAGCCTCTGAAAGTGTACCTCACAACATGGAGGTGCCACAGTGATGTCTTGCTGCCATCAGGTAGATGAGAGCATAAATAGCTTTGACTCCCCTAGTGCAGAAGTAGAATCCTTTGGGCTGGGGTTGTGGCTCAGCAGTAGATCACTTGCCTAGCACGTATGAGGCCCTGGGTTCAATCTTCAGCACTACATAAAAATAAATAAGTAAAATAAATATATTGTGTCTGACTAAAACTAAAAAATAAATACTTTTTTTTTTTTTTTAAAAGAAGTAGGGTTGAGGATGTGGCTCAAGTGGTAGTGTGCTCGCCTAGCACAGGTGGGACCCAGGTTCGATCCTCAGCACCATATAAAAATAAAAGGCATTGTGTTGTGTCCATCTACACTTAAAAAAATAAATATTAAAAAAAGATATTGTGTCCACCTAAAACTAAAAAATATATATTTAAAAAAAAAGTAGAATCCTTTCAATTCTGTGTCAATCTTTCTTAGTATACCAAGAGAAAGTCAGTTTGGTACAAGTTTGTCTTCAGTATCTCTCCAAAAGTTAATTTTCCTTTTCAATAAAAAGAGAACTAGAATTTAATCACATTGGTTTTAATGCACATGATCAATGCTATATGATAAGGATTTTCCATTTAGTAACAAAAAATTTCTAGCAACATTTTTTCGGTTTAAATTATTATAAAGAAATATAAAAAGTCATGCCCTACTTTTTGTTTCTTCTGTCTACTCAAAAACAATTGTTTTCTTCATTTAGGTCTTTTTGCTTTTAATGTTTTTCAGTTAATCACTCTCCCTGCCCTGCAAAAATTGGAAAGACTATCAGCAGTTGTGAAGCAGGATATAGAGATAATAATTTTTTAATTTTAGATTTTAATTATGTAGTAATCGATTACAGAAGCAATTTTGCCATAATCTCACCATTTTAAAATAGCTGCTATGTTTGTTATTCTGAACTTTTCTTTCTTGTGTGCATTCACTTTAATAATAGGAGTAAATATTGTTTCTTCCTAGGCAGTGTC